AGCGCACGCTGTGTCTCACCTAAAAAATCCACTGCGCAGGCTCGAAGGGTTAATGACCTTTCCCAAATCTTCGCTCGCGAAGACTGGCCATACTTACAACAGAAGGAAAAAAACAAACAACCAAGACCCTTAACTGGTATAGAACAGAAGTATTTTCTCTCAAACATCAAATGGGGAGGGAGGAATGATTTCTGAACATTTCTTCTCCAGCAGTGCCGTAACTGTAAAAAGCCACTGCTGGATTTCTGCCATTGTTCCTGTAAATTCATTTAGCCCTTGTTATTTTGACAATAAACTGACAGTGATTTGCTGCAGCATGCGTCAATTGGATTTGTCTACTGCAATAATGTATATAATAACAGGGCTTATTATTGATGAAACTGTGCTTGTGCTATTTAGTTTGCAAATGTCAGAGGTTTCTATGGTAATTTATTTAGGAAACCGTAAAGGTCATTTAAATGCTGCTGTTCAAAGATCAGCCTTTGATCATAGGAAATATTCCATTGTTTTAAGAAGCCTCTTTTCCTTTTGGATCATGAACATTTAATTAAAAAAATGGTGTAGTCTTTCCAGAAGTTTAATATATCTCATTCAAAAGATAGGGAGGGGAGAAAAAGCCATGTAAAACCCAGATTTGATGGTACAATATATTTGGTAGGCACAGGATACATTTAGAAAGCTACATTATTTTTTGCATATCACAGGCTAGTAGAGGAAAAGGACACCGTTAGTAAAGTTTGAATAGAAAAATATATATCTTCTATGTTTGCATGTCTTTGAAACCTGTTTGGAAGGTGAAAGGAGGCTTTCCATGAAGAGAAAGATACAAAGGAGTTTAAATTCTCTCTGTTCTTTTGAATTCCACCAACAGGTGCATAACTTGGAAGCTAAAATGAGAGTTAGGTGTCAAGGAAGTGTGAGCTCAGTACCACTAACCCTTCTGCATCTCACTTTATGAGCCTGGATTATCCCATGTGGGTTGTTTTTGCTTTTCTCATGCCCAGAATTTTGTGGTATGACTCATGGACTTGCTGCATGATCTGTGTAACTACAGATATCAGATAACCCTGGATATCTTGGGTGAAATTAGTGGGTACCTTCCTTGCTGTAAAATTGACAGTTATAAGTAAATAGTCCTGGTAAAGCATTTTGACATCCTTTCACCGAAGACACAATAAATGGCAAATCACTTGATTTTACCAGGCAGCACCAAGTTTTAGAAGAAAACCTCTAGCTAGTGTTCTTAGTTTAATGGAGCTTAGAAAAACACTTTACATATGTATATAGTTGTAGTATTTCCTGTATTAAGGGGATCTATGCTGAAATCATGATAGCCCATTAAAATTTTGCCAAGAACCTCTTAGGCTCCTGCACAGCAATTTGGTGCAACCTTGTACAAGCAGCTGAGAGCATCACTAACTTTCCCATCACTGGTGCAACTGATGTTGAATGTCTGACTTGTGTGGTGTTAGTGTGTGCAGAGTCACGTCCTAAATTGTGCAATTGAATAATCACAGCACCTGTAGTACCAGATCATTTCTCGTAGTAAGCAAAGGGCAGAATAATGCAGTATTACAGCAATAATCTTCTGTAGGTGTGGATAAGTCTTTTTTTTCCTTCTAGAGCCACTGCTGAGTTGTGAGAGCAGTCAGACGTTCAAAAATATAGTATTATTTTTAAACTTATGGCTCAGTGTTTTGAAATACCACTAAATAACCTGAAATTCAACTCTGCGGTAAGGAGCTAAAAGCCTTTTTTATGAAGTGGCTTAAATGGAAAGTTAGTGAATAAAAGAGCAAATAAAAACAATGCCTGCACATTAAGAAGGGAAAGCATTTATCAAATTAGAGAGTACTTTCTACTTTTTTTTCTTTTTAGAATAAAAAAGACCTTAGTTTAACACATTTTTGTATGGGATAGACTACATGAATTAGAACTAAAGCTATAAATTCCTTTTTCTTTACCATGAACTCCTGAGGCATATTGTGGATATTAAGTAACTATGGTGCTTTAGCTAGATTAAAAATTTAGAAAATAAATAAATAAATCTCTACTTATACCAGTAAAGTTTTTCCCGAGGTTCCAGGTTTATGTTTACTGAAGATGTTGTAGAAAGAGATCATTAAATACACTATTGCAAACTGTAATTGTATTTTATTGCCTGGGCTGAAGATGAAATTGTTGTTCAATCTCTTTCTTCCCTATTAAGATCATGTCTCCATTGGAGGTCTTGGGGATAGCTTTTATGAATATCTGCTCAAGGCATGGCTGATGTCAGACAAAACAGATGAAGACGGCAAGAAAATGTATTATGATGCTGTTCAGGTAAATAAGATATGTAAATCTTCCTTTCCATAATAATCTAATCCATTGTAATCCTAAAGAGACAGGCTCTGGGGACAATGTGAGAGATTTATGTATTTGCCACCACAGGGTGTTTTTTTAAAGAAATAGTTTCTGTTTTAAAAAGACTTCTTCAAATAGAAGTGCTAGAGAAATACAGATACTGTGGGAAAGGGGAGAATCTTGATGAATAACTATTTTTTTTCAACTGCAATGTAGTCAGTTATCTCTGGAGGAGAAAAGTATAAAATAAGCAACAAAAGATGCATCTACAAGTAGTTCCCAGATAGACATTCAATTGTTTTTCCTTAGTCTTCTCTAAATATATATTACTCTTGTCTTCTTCCCTTATATCCAGAAGGGAATTCCTCTCTTGTGTTTCAATCCCACGTTTCAGCCATCAAAAGTGTTTTGATTGTGGTCCACAAATGGATCAATGTAATATGGTAGGTAAGTATAAATGAAAATAGGGGCTTTGTTGCACAATTACTTTTTGGTCCAAGAGCATATATTAGCCACCTTCTGTGAAACAGCCAAATTGGACACAAGAGAAAGTTTTCAAAAATCAGAATTGTTCATACTTACATTTCTATGTGGTATTTTATTTATGGTCCTGCTGGTCTGCAGTTTGCTTTGTTATTGATGGTATTTCCTTAATATGCTGTTTTGGGAGAAATAATGGGTTTGTGACACCAGATTGAGACTTGAGAAATATTAAGTTTAAATTCATATTTACAGGCTTTCCTTCCAGTCTTGGGCAAATGACCTAGTTTCTCGGTTCTTTGCTTTCATATAT